TTTGAAAGTTCCTTGTTGAGTATGTTGATCTTGTTTTTGCATTCGGTGATAAGTAACTTGAGATGTCGGTAGGCAGCAAGAGGTGAAATATGTCTCCATCTGCGATAAAATTTCTGGTTATACGTGTGGAGTGGTGGTAAGCTGGGATAAAGTGATTTAGGAATATAATTGTTGGCTTTGTAGAAGGTGTAGTTCAGGAGGTGATGTTTGTAACGAGTAAATTTAAGTTGGATTCTTTTAGTAGCGTTGAAGAGGCGCGTATATTGGTGTCCTGTAGACGTGGTAGGTGTAGCTGTAGCTGTAATCGGATGTCCTGCCGTAGCGGTAGGAAAAGGACCAGGGTTAGATTCAATATCCATGCAGATAGTGAGAGACAAGACCAGTAACACAAATGAAGGTAAAAGTAAAAGATGTCGGTATGATGGATCCTTGGTGGCTTTAGCTGATGAAATGTTGTTAGAGATAAGCGGTTGTAGGATACTAGGAAGGAAGAAACCAATGCAAATTCTCCACGAGGCGATGTCGATGCCCATGTTTATGCAATGTTTATGCAATATTTTCTTCTGTACGCGCGCTATTTTCTTTTTCTTTTTAAGGTATACCTCTCTCCCGCAGATATAACTCCAGAGATACGTTTCTCAAAACCTTCATCTAGGTTTCTTCGACAGAGCTGAATAATGAAATGCTACGTCAGCATTTCATTATTCACTTGAGCTCGCGTCAACAACGCGGGCTCAAGTGTCCTAGGTCTAAAATTTAGCGAAATTAGCGGAAAATTGTAAGGGCTGACTTTTAAAACCGAGGAACTCTGTTTTCGTCGAAGGCGTTTTCCTATTTCCAGAGGTTTTAAGGAGAAAATTAATCTTTGAAACTTTTCAGGGGGTGTACCAAGTTTTTGGAGGTTGTTCTATAAAAGAAAAGCGGCAAGGAAAACGACACGTCGAAGCAACAGAAAGGAAATCAACCATGCGAACGACTCAAAATCCATGCATGTTTCAGCGGAAAAATATAGCGCACGCATGCACGTTATTCAGCTCTGTCGCGGATGTCTCGAAGCGCAGATCGCAAACCGCAGAGTGCAGACTGCAGACCGCAGACCTCGAAAAATCTGTTTTCGACATTACGATGACTGAGAACCGTGGTTGGGAGGCAATTTTTCAGCGAGGGAGACTTGGTCAGTAACAAGCATTACGTGCGACCGGAAGTCGGCAAAGATCAATTTGAAGATTTGTTTCATGTTGAGCCAGTGGTCTGCAAACTAACAGATTTTGGTGAAAGTCGCTCTCGGTTACTTCAATAATACTTAGGTTACTTCGATAATTCACGCCCAGACGTCCAACGTTGAGCGCGGGACAAAACCATATATTGTATTCTATCGAGGCAATGCAAAAATTCGAGGAGATCTGAAACCTAAACATTAAGAAAAAAAATGGCTTTGTCAAACCCCAAATCCGCCTCGAATTCCAGAATTCTACACCCTAACAAAAATACACAAACCTTCCCCGGTCGGCAGACCGATAGTGTCAGGGTGTGATGACCCTACAGAGAAACCATCATCATTTGTCGACAAACTCCTTCAGCCGATAGCACAAAAACAAAAGTCGTATCTTAAGGATACTACAGACTTCGTCAATTTCATAGAAAATACGAAAGTTTCGGAGAACGTAATACTTGTTTCAATGGACGTTACGAGCTTATATACAAATATAACACAAGAGGAGGGAATAGACACTGTTTGCAATACATACGAAATATTCTACAGAAACGGAACTCCTATCCCTACACAACTACTAAAACAAGCGCTTAGGCTCATTCTCCGAGAAAGTTCTTTCCATTTCAGAATGAAAAACACTAGCTTCAAACAGATGGTACAGTCATGGGCACGACAATAGCAGTCGCCTTTTCTAATAATTTCACGAACAAGGTAGAGACAGAAATCCTTGACGAAAGCCTTTTCAAACCACTTGTTTGGAAACCTTACATGGACGACATCTTCTCGCTATGAAGTACAAACAAAGCAACAATAGAACGTTTCATTGAAAAAACAAACCATCATCCAACAATAAAATTTACGGTTGAAATTTCCGATAAGGAAACAACATTCCTGGACACCTACATCTAAAAAGGCGAACGGTTCGAAAAAGGCGCAATCCTCGATGTGCGTATTCATTTTAAACAAACTGAGACATTTCAGTATACACATTATAGTTCCTGTCACCCACAAGGAGTTAAAAAAGGCTTCATAAAAGGGGAGGCCCTTAGACTTCTCAGAACAAACTCCTCTCAAATGATATTCCAGGAGAAAATTGCAAATTTCAAAGCGCATTTGCTAGAGAGGCTACCCAGAGGACCTCATGAACACGACCCTCTCAGAGGGAGTGTGTAGAAAACGAAGACCTAAGACCTAAGACCCAAAAACGAAGACCCCCCTCAAAATCATTCAAAAACATCTAGAGACGGGTGCCTCGGCCTCAGATGTGTAAAGAAGACAAGATCTTTAATTATAAAGAATTTCGACCAGGGTCTTTGTTTTCTACACATCCCCCTCGTGTGTAGAAAACGAATAACCCCCTCAAAATCACTCGGAAACTGCTTTTGACGACTTCTAGACATCAAAGGAGTGTAAAAAACAACACGGCTCCTGAAGATTTTCAATTATAAAGAATTTCGACTAGGGTCTTCGTTTTCTACACATCCCCCCCCCCCGTGTGTAGAAAACGACGACCCCCCTCAAAATCACTCGGAAACAGCTGGAAACTGTTTTCAACGACTTCCAGACATCAAAGGAGTGTAAAAAACAACATGGCCCCGGACGATTTTCAATTATAAAAAAATTTCGACTAGGGTCTTTGTCTGAGGTTTCTTCGGAATCATCTCCTGCTGTAAAGCGTTCATGACATTAAATAACCATGTCACTGGGAGATCCTAGAACTGTCGAGGGGTTAAATGCTCAGCCTTGTTTCTATCAACGTCAACATTTTTATCTTTAAGAAACCACAACAACAGCGTGCTCAACAAGAACGTTAACAAAACATGAACAAACAATTGAGAATCCCTCATTCATGTATCTACCGTGGAACCTCGATGTAACCAACCTCTATATAGAAGATCATTTTCTTTAGCCCAGAAAAAAAGGTACAGTAACATCTCGATTTGACCAACCTCCGTTTAACGAATTCCTCGTTATAATTCAGAGGCACTCAATGACTGTTTTTTGAGAGATGATAGGAAATGCCTCTTTATGCATCCGGGAGTACCTTAAAAGTAATCATAAATGAATTATTCGAATTCGCATTGCTAGAAAAATTTGATCTGTAGTCTTCTTAGCAGTGGTTTGAGCCTCTCGAATTTTTTACAGATCGATGTTGTTCGCCTTTCCCGAAAATAACAGCCGACAATGAAAGCTTTACGAAAACGTGAGTTTACTTCACGAGATTTTAATCTTAGCTGAAATTTTTAGGGGTCCTTTCAGTTTTTTCCCGAAAACGATATCCATGTGGGAACGTCTTCGAATTTTCTAGGGCGACGTAGCATGTATAGAAAATTCTAGGAAATAAAAAAAAGAACAGACGAAAAGAAATTTAAGTGATTCTAATTCCAGTTTTAAACGTAAAAGTACCCTGACCAACTAAATTTGCACTGCACTGAAAAATGTGCAACACGCCAGATGGTACTGATGACAACGCTAACCGGTTAGCTCAATGGATAGAGCGCTGGACTGATGTGGGGGAGGTCGAGGGATCGAACCCCTGGCCGGACCAACACTCAAGGTCTTAAAATAATTGAGAAGAATATGCTGCCTTTCTATAACATCAAGAAATGGTTTAGATATTCTAGTCTTCTCGGATAGGGAAGAATAAATGGAAGTCCCGTCTCCGAATCATTGGTCTATATAACTAGCTCAATATTTTTAGTTCTGGCGTGTGGCAAACGTTTAACACCATCCCTTGTTAGATTAGAGATAAATACCTCACCTGATCTTGCTGATTTAATGAGGAGATTTTGTCTTACAAATTATTCACTTGTTGGGTATTGAGAACAATTTAAAATATTATTCCCGTTGGTAGGAAACTAAAGCTCCATTCTCGTGTGTGTAAATAGCAAAATAGCACTAAATACAACAATAGCGAGGCGAAATATTTGTTAAATTGTACCAAAAGTAAATGAAGCTCTCTCAAAGTAATCAAAATTGTTGCTACCTTAACTCTAAGTATAGGAGAACGAATAAAGATAACTTACCTATGCCCAAAGATGACCAAAATCCTGCTACTAAACGGCTTGACTCAGTTAGCTTAGAGTTGCTGGTTGTAACCTACGTGCGGAGGCTGTTCCGCGTCACGACCACCTTACGGTTCAGCTTCAACTCTCAGTGGCTCGAGGAAGTTTTGGGGAACCACTTGTCAAACCTAAAACTGTAATCTACGGCGCAAGTAGCTTCAAACCAAGCTATAAAGCAAAGTTCTGAGCTACACGTGGAGAGAACCCGACCAAACTAAAATGAATACTTAATGAGTAACACATTTGTAATGTAAAGCAAGATTCCATGAGCCTCACAATCATTATTCACAAAGATACTGCAAGGGTAGCGGGAGACGGGGAATATTTTGACATGCGAAGGCAAAGGTGGAACATGGGCAATAACATCACACTTATGCTACACTCATTAATCTTATTTATTGTTTCATAACGAAAAGGAAAATATATCTACAATGTATCTACCATAAAAGTGTTAAATAAAGTAAAAGATGGCTTTACAGCTCAGTGGCTTTGTGGCGCAAGTTGTAAAATACTGTGGCAAAAATTTCCTCAAGGATTACTAACGCAGTTTTCTTTCGGATATATTTGTTAAGAATGATTTGCGTGATTTTCAAACATGTTTTAGCCCTGACATTCCAATTTTTCGCGACCTAAGGTGTGATTCTAAATTTTGCTATCACGTGTCCACTTTACAGATGTCTTCATACGGGATCCTGTCAATTCTCTTCCCGCGGTGAGGTCCCTGTGGGGAGAGGAAAAAAATAAGTATACAACATCTAGGTGAATTCTTCTATCATGAAAAGTAAACTGAAGCTGTTTTTTCCCAATCAAAAATGCTTGCGTAAATTAAAAACCAATCATTTGTGTTTCCCAATCCTGGAATTCGTTTCCTTCTGGGTACTTGAAGCTCCCCTGGGTTTTTTTTTTTTTTATAACTTCTCCCTTGCTGAGAATGGACAATGTAATAAAGTTGATATAGGCTTCAAAATACTCAACTGACAACTGGTCAATAGTGTGCGTTCATGCACAACTAATCACTCACAGATAAAACACAAAACAGTGGGTCACAGCCTATCATTCTAATCAAACAAGGCTGTTTTCAGCTTACATCTTTCAGCTCTACTGTTACAGAGAAGGTCTTTTCATCCAAGGACACGAGCGAAGCTGTTACTCCTCGGTGGACACCGTTTACAATCAAGACAGTCTTTCCTGGAAATACAAGAAACGGAGTTGATACCTCTTTCACCATGCCCGTCAAGAAAAAAATAGATTTGATCCTTTAGCTCCCATGAGTGACCACAACAGAAGTTCTCCTAACAATATCAAAACAATATCCAGCATGCAAGTGACGAGAGTAAAGATAAACATATAGAAGAAGTTTATTTGATCCAAAACCAACTTCTCTGAACTAACATCATTAGAATCTTAAGGCAGACAGTAAGGAGAATTGCTAATGAGATCTCGGGAGAGAAAGGGTAAATTTCCCAGACCTCGAACACATTAACAGAATTCGATTAAATATCAATGTAACAAACAACGAAAACAAACAACATCATTCAACTGAAGCTTATAGTAAACATGGCATTAAGAGTATTACTGCAACAAATCTTGTTTTTTTTTGCTCGTTAAAATCTGCATGTCTCCTTTATCAAAACATCTTCAATGTGTTGAGGACCGTTTTCCTTCGCCTCATTCAAACCATCTGAAACCGATTAACTTTTATTCCGAATAAATTGCTAACCCTTGCCCAATCCCCTCATAGAGCGGCGTACGGGAAAAGCCGACTTCCCGTCAGTCTTTTCGTCGTGTGTTTACCATCAACACGCGTTTCTCGAGACCTTGAGATTATTAGACACATCCCCAAAAAGATAGATATCCCTGACTAAAACCACAGTACCCATAGCTGGTATGACTGTTTCTAGGTGTTCCTGGTCCACTTTGAGAACGTCTCCGCCATCTGACATCTTTATCACTGCCACAAATAGATTCTTAACGTCCTGCGGTAAGAAAAGGAAGGTTTGGAACAATTCTATGTGACAAAAATCCCAATTTTGTTGAAAATTAGGCGGTGACGGTGGCAGCCCCTGCTATACATTGTGAAATCTTTATGTGAATCTGGTTTTCTATCAGAATAATCGAGATACTACGAGCGCTCTTGTGAGTGAAAAATCTCTCATTTATTTCACCGGTAAAACCATAGACAATTAAAATATATATCTACATCTTGAATATATGAAGTTCATATATTTTGAACTGCGGTGTTAGATACGTATGATGCACGATCCTCGCAGTAAAGAGCGCTATTTATGCAATGGCGAAAATCAGACCTGAAAAAAATCAGGCCTGTACGGGATTCGAACCACTGACCTCTGCGATACTAGTGCAGCGCTCTACCAATTGAGCTAACAAGCCAACTGGGAGCAGGCCGTTAAGTTGATTCGCATCAGACCAGCCTTCCTCCTTACATCGTCTACCATATGTTTTCTCATCATCTTTCTATTGTCATTTAATTAAGACCAATACTGGGAGGTATACTGCTTGTCTTTACCAAGGGTCAGTCGTTCTTTTTCATCCACTTCATCCTGTGCGGATTTCAAACGTTTACGCAGGTCCTTGCCGTCTACTGCATCAATGTTACCTTCCGCTTTCCCACGAACTCCAAAAGTCTTCGCCAAAAAGTACCTCTGATCCTTTTCACTTTTTATGCCTACATCCCTTAATTTGTCCCGGCAATTGTTTTCGAAGTGTTTGAAGCATCGCATGATAGTTGGTGGTCAAACGGAAGCGCGCGCTTTAACTATCATCGACTATCATTAACTATCATCGACTATCATGCGCCGTTTGACCAGGGCTTTAGATGATATTTAGAAAACTTTCATTCGAAAAACAGCCTTGAGAATGCTATGTGATAATGTGAGCTTTTTCTTTTAAGACTGATTGAGAAATCATGTTCTTTAAAATTATAATTATGGTAGATAAAGCAATTTAGAAAGAAGACTTTATATACAGAATGACCGAAAGATTAGAACTGTATCAGGCTAGCCTTTAGGCATTAATGGTGAACATTAATATTCAGTTGTAAGCTATATTCAATAATTAAGCCGTTAATATGTTAATAGTTCACAGGAAATAGCTTTTGTCATTGACAGGTCTTAAAGGGTAAAGTAAAGAGTAAAGTAAAGTTTGTGGAGGATTGCGTGTGGACGCGTCCGCTTAAGCTTCAGAAAGTTATATGAAATTATTGCTCTAATCTGGCTTATTGGAAGACCAAATAACGTTAAGTTATCCGCAAGTGAGAGGGATGTATCTACTGAAGATCTTAACTACTTCCAGTCAAAGGTTTAGATAAATATTCAGCGACCGAAGTTTATTATCAACATGCCGTCTAAGGGCTTCCTCGGTTTAAGGTGAGCGAGATACTCTAATTCTATATCCACATTTCAATTAAAGCGACTAGCCGAGAGTGGGGATATCAACCCAAATCCAGGTCCAGAGAAGTGTGCATCTTGTGGTAGGGCAGTTGCTAAAAATCATCGTAGTTTGCGCTGTTCTTCTTGTGCTCGTTTAAAGCACATCAAATGCGGCAATGTACGACCGTGTCAATTTCTACAAATCTCAAGGACACTGGCTCCATGGAGGTGCCCGGGATGTGATTTATTATTCTCTGAACTACCATTTTGTAATTTGGATAACATTGAACTTGCCAGCGAATTTGAAAATGATGGAAATAATTCACTAGAATGGAGTAATAATACTGTTTCTGAAGTATATGCTAATTCTCGACATGAAAGCGATATCCCTGGGGGGTCGCAAGATGATCAGAACAATGCCCCGAATAATGTCCTGATTGCAGAAAGTATTATATATACAAAAGAGAGATCTTAATTTGTCATCTAAACATCCACAGCATTCAAAATAAATTCGAGGAACTTGCATGCTTGATTAAAAGACTCTAAATCTCAACTTATGATTGTTAGCGAATCCAAAATTGACTGTTCTTACAGTCAATTCACTATCCCTGGTTATGTGCTCTACCGTGATGATAGGAAGAAAGGAGGAGGAGGAATTCTAGCTTACGTATCTTCCGAATTAACATACAAAAGAATCAAACTTGCCAAGACCTATAGAGTGCCGAAGTGTGACGTCATGTTACCATGGTAGCATTTTTGCTGGATCTAAACACTATTTGGCGTCTTTCGTTACATCTCATCATAAAATGGGCCAATGCTTCGTTCCCGACTGCAATCATCAGTCAGAAAGTCACAATTGCAGCTTTTACCGTTTCCCCAAAGATCCTGCTCAAAGAAGAAAATGGATTTCTCTAATAAGGTAGGTTGATTTTTGGTACAATGACCACCATGATGCACGGCCACGTGTCGGTTATAGTTACGCGGAAGATGGTTTTATTTAACCACTCAAAAGTGCACTGACCTGTGGATTATACCTTTGAAAGACCTCTAGAGAGAAAAAAAGCTTTTTTTTACGTTATGATTAAAGTTTAAAACCTTCGTTTTCTCTCTCCAGACGAGCTGATCGTGAACCTGGCAAAGGCGCTCGAGTTTGTAGTTGTCATTTCCGAGGAAGTAAAGAAGAAGGCCCCGAGGTCTTTTCCTGGAATAAAGACAAACTATTTGAATCTCGAAATGCTCCAAAAAGGAAAAAGCAAAGAACTGAAGTCCCAGAGACAACGACTATCGAGCAGATCCTTTCAGAATCTTCGACGAAGAGCAACCAGAACGAGCCTTGCGAGCTCAGTTGCGAGGAGATGCAAATGAAATGCACTACTTTGCAGACTGAAAATATCCTGCTACAAGCAGAGCTAGGGACATTAAAGACCCAAGTATCCGAGTTGAAAGAAAAAGAAAGCTACTTAAAAAGAAACTACAGCTCTTTTAACATGGATTCAAAGGTAATCAACATGGAAACTGGCCTCCCAAACAAAGAAATGTTCCACATTGTTGTCGAATATGCCGAAAGATACCGCAACGATATTGTTTACGTGTGTGGCTGGAAAGTAGACAAGATATCTTTTGAAGATCAAATATTGATAACATTGATGAAGATTAGACATAATTATCATAACTTACATTTAGCTGAACTTTTTAGTTGCAGTACTGCTACAATAGCGAATATTGTGACAACATTTATCCATGTTTTGCACCAAATTCTATATGAAGATCAAATGGAGATAGCTGTTCCATCCAGACAAAAAAACAAAACTTCACTTCCAGGCTCATTTAGCTTATTTGGAGACTGTCGTATGGTAATAGATTGCACCGATATCGAGGTTGCTACACCTAAGCTTATGAGTGACCAAAAATTGACATATTCAACGTACAGGGGTATGAATTCTTTTAAGACAATTGTTGGTGTGGCACCCAACGCGGTTATAACTTATGTAAGTAAACTTTTCCCTGGCTCAGTATCAGATAAAGTAACGGTTCAAAAGTCAGGAATATTAAAGCATTTTGTTGCTGGGGATATTATACTTGCGGATAAAGGGTTTTTGATAAATGATATTGTTCCTAATGGTGTATATGTGAACATTCCCCCATTCTTGAACAATGGAAAATTTACAGAAAGTGAAGTTAAGTTAACAAAGAGCATTGCAAAATGTCGTATACACGTAGAACGTGCTAATGCTAGATTGAAGAACTATAAAATTTTAAATTTTGTGCCACCATACTTGCGATCCCTCTCTGGTAAGATTATACAGCTATGTGGTGCTTTAGTTAATTTACAAAACCCATTAATTAAGGAAACCAATGACACTGTTGACTTTGATTAGTCATTTTAATTGAAATATTGATCATCTTACATCAGTTTACTAAGGCCTGGTATACATTGGCATTGTCTGATCATAGTTAATCAATTAACTGTATTCTGATACAAAGAGTGGACAGGTGTTGTGTGATCTGTGAAAAGCTTGTAACCCTATTTTACTTGCTCATGATACAAGGAATCATGATACACAACTTAATGACAAACTATTTATTTCTGATCAGTATTCCTGCCACCACACCCTTATGCTAGTCTTATTATGAATTCAGATAACCAACTGTATTCAAATACGATTACAATGAATCTATCATTTTCTTGTCTCAAGTAGCTAATGTAAAAACCCCAGCAAATGTTGCTGTTTAAAGAAAAACAATTTTAAGATTAACATGAACATTTTTATTTTATATACACCCTTCAGTTACTGCATATTTGTTGTAAAAGTTGCAATGATTTTACCAAATAAAACAATATTTTAAAAAATATTTCTAAAAGTATGTATTATCAAATCCATTACTTTATAAAAAACTACATTAATTTTACAACAAAGTCTTAAAATTTAAAGACCACCATCAACAAGTGCAGGAATCATGTGAATTGTATAAAATTCTTGAAGTGAAAGAAGATTTGGTTCCCATGTGCAGTCTTTCTGGATTGCCAACACAACAGTTTGCATTGTTGTCCAAACCACAAAGTAACAGATTTGCTTCCCAGTTATAAACAGCTGACCCTGGACTTGATGCCAGTAGTGGTGGGATTGTTTTAAACAATAGCCAGCATCTCTCTTTACTAAACAGAACTTAGGGTCTTTAACAGCCTCCTCAATTGTTGAATTGCGATGTGTGTAAGGGCATTTGACTTCAATGATCGCATTGTCATCAACAAGTCCATCTGGTGATGCACCCAAAACACCAGACTTGTGTAGCCAAAGGCCACAATCCTTTACTACTTTCATTGTTAATTTGGTGAAGGCCTTTATTCCTTCTTTCTCGTTAACGACACCCCATCGAACAGCCTGCACTCGAGAGATGTCGTATTCTCCAAGAACACGCTTGATAAGGGAAGGAGTGACTCTTTTTGCTTCAAGAACTGGACCAAAATTGCTAGCAGTCAAACGTCCTTTTCTCACCACATGCCACTCTCCACATTCACGTTGCTCTTTCGTGATCTCACAGACTGATTTCACTTGCTGCTCACTTACTTTCAATTTTTCCAACAAGAAATTTGTATCAAGTCCGCTTTCAACAAACTCTCTCGATAAAATGATTTCTTCGACTGTGGAGATCGGCAGACGATTCTCTTTGTCAGGTTCGGGGCTCAAAAGCCATAACATTCCTGTGAACTCGCCGTATCTCTTCAGCTTGTTCCGTAGCCATTCTCTGTCCTCATCTGTAGTTTTTCGTTTTAGGACTTTAGTTTCTTTGGGTGGATACAGATCTTCTACCGTTTTAACCACCTCGGATGCCTTTTGTTTCTTCCACTGACATTCGATGTCAGTTCTACTTAAGTTGTGGTAGCCATGAAGGAACAGAGCTACAGCGTGACTACACTTTGAACCGCCACGAGGGCACTCGCATTCTGTGGAACGTATTTCGTTTTCTTGAAGATATATCTGCGAAGGAAAGAGAAAAAGAAATATAAGCTTACTTTTCAAGATTTCCTTTAAACGAAGATTCGAAATCACTTAATTTAAATAAGTTTTGGTTTGGCGATGTTAACGGATAGACATCGAGTAATAGAAATTTTACACTTACTGTGACTTTATACGTCGTACTTTTCATGCTCGCTTGCACTGACCCTCTGATAATTCCATCACAATAGCAAAAAGATAGAACGTGTCCAGATTGGTAATGGTTTTCGCCACGGTTTAAAGATTTAGGCTCATCTGAGAAGTATTTTGCGAACGATGTTATCGACAACGCCGCCATGTTAAACACATGTGAGTTTGTTTAGATCCAGCAGAAATGCAACCATGGAAACGTGACGTCAGGGCTTCGGTACTCTATCTATATTA